TTTCACTCCTCTTTAAAGTGAATTTCTATCGAATATGTTGATTTATTGACTGTTTTCACTCATGTTTCTATTGAGCCTCTGTCGGAAGTTGAACAAATGTTTTAAAACAACTTTTATTTAAACTGGGATTTATGAGATGTTCATAAATTAATCGCTGATTTGGCATTGGTTATTTCCACAGAGATTTTTAAGTTATGAAGTGTTTATGATTACTGTTTTGCCCGAGGGGCTGTTTTACAAACTATGTTTTGCCCGAGGGGCCGATTATGGCTTTAATCTCTATTATTATCTTAAATGGTATTGAACCCCTACCGAAACTACTGGAAAGTATTTCAAAATGATTTTTACTATAAACTGGATTTTAAAAGGGAATATTGACTCGTATTATGATTTGAAGGCCTGTTGTGTTTATTGAGCCTAACGTGAATGTGGATTCATTGTTTCCTACTGCTCAGCCTTTATTTGCTCTTATTACTTACTGGGTTGGAGTACTCACATTACTCCCTGCACCTCGTGTGCAGATTTAGGTATATCGGAACCAGGTAGCGGGTGTTGATAGCTCAGCCGCGGAGTCATCAGAGTTAGCAAGGTGGCTGCATGACGTTCGCAGTACCGCTTTCTTCCCCTCATTGTTGTTACTGTATTTAGTACATTTTTAGACTTTTATTTTATTCAGACCTTGATAGTTGCTCATGACTAGTGACACCCCGATGTCGGGCTGGTATTTTATTTCGCACTATTATTCCAGGATTTTATTATGAAATATTGTTTAATTTAAAGACTTAAAAATGACTCTTAATGCTTAAACGGTTAAGGTGAGTGTTGTGTCGGCTGGCCTTGTCTTCACAAGAGGCGCCATCACGACCGGGCCGGTTTGGGGTCGTGACAGTACCGATCCGCGAGACTTTACTAAACCTGCTCATGACTCGTGAGACCTATGTAACCTAGGCTCTGATACCAACTTGTCACGACCCAAACACCCCGGTCGTGATGGCGCCTATCACAGTACTAGGCCAGCCAAAACAACACGAACAATATGAAGATCTTTTGTAAAATTCATTTTTCTGACAGATTAAGTCTCAAATCTTTCATGTTTAAAATATCAAAAGAAATACGCGAAAACAAGTACATAAATACATCAACACAACCCGAATCTGGTGTCACTACTCATGAGCCACTAAGTACAACTCAACACTGTCTGCTTTATACAAAATAAGTCTGAAATATAAAGTACTAGGATATGAGGGAGAAGGGCAAGGCTACGAACGCTGCGCAACTACCTTGCTAACTCCGAAAATACACAAAAGCTACTAAAAGCTTAGAAATTCCTGAATCTGCACACAAGGTGCAGGGAGTAATGTGAGTATGCCAACTCAGTAAATAATAAAAGTAAATAAAGACTGAGCAATAGGAAATGATAAATCCACATCAGGATAAACTCAGTAAGCACAACAAGCTTTCAAATCGGAATACGAGTGAATCGTCTCATTTAAAAATCCAACTTTTGGTAAAAATCATTTGAAGATGCTTTCCAACGGTTTCAATAGAGGTTCAATACAATTTATAGTAAAAGCGATGAAAATCATAATCGGCCTCTCGGGCAAAACATAGTTCGTATACAGTCCCTCAGGCAAACATGAATCATAAACATCTCATAACATAAAAATCTCAGTGGAGATAACAAAGCCAAATTAGTGATTAAATTTCGAGCATCTCGTAAAACTCTCGTTTAAAAGAAAGTTGTTTAAAAGCATTTGTTCAACATTTTCAATAGAGGCTCAGTATGAAGAAGAGTGAAAACAACAGTTTCATAAAAACAAGCTCCTCGGGCAAAACATTACTCATATATGTATACAGCCTCTCGGACAAGCCTCTCAGTCACCCGAGACTCAAGTTTCATCAATCAGCGCTCACACTCAGCACTCACGCTCAATAGGTACCTTTTAATAACCGTTGCGGCGTGCAACTCGATCCATAAATATATAGTCGACTGTGCTCACTGGGAGTGTGCAGACTCCGGAGAGGCTCATACAACCCAAACGCTATATTGTTGCGGCGTGCAGCCCGATCCAACATATCGCTGCGGCATCTAGCTCGATCCATCTATCGATGCGGCGTGCATCCCGATCCATAAGTATATAATCCTCACAACTAGGCCTTTGGCCTCTCTCAGTCATCAACCTCACAATCAGGCCATTGGCCTCTCTCAGTCATCAACCTCACGGTCAGGCCCTCGACCTCTCTCAGCCATCAACCTCACAAGCCACTCGGACTATCAGTAAAATAGGGCGTTCAGCCCAAAATATCATTTATTGTATCAAACTGAGTAAATAGGCTGAGTTATGAAATCAGTAAAACATAGCATGAATGAGTACAAATATTAAGTCAAAATAGTAAGGAATAGTAGTAGAAAAATCCCCTAAAGGTCCAAACAGTTGGCACGAGGCCCAAATATGACATTTAGCTCAAAACACAATAATACTTTCCAAAACACAATAGTATCAAATAGTTTTCCATCAAATACGCGATATAATAGTCGTACGGGACGGATCAAGTCATAATCCCCAATGGTGCACGACCTCACGCTCGTCATCTAGCATGTGTGTCACCTCAAAGTAGCACGACGATGCAAAATTCGGGGTTTCATACCCTCAGGACAACATTTACAATCATTACTTACCTCAAACCGAACGAAAATCCTGTTCTGCGACGCCTTTGCCTCTCGATTCGGCCTCAACTCTATCCAAAATCAGAATCATAACATCAATATACGCTAAGGGAACAAAGCCCATGCGAAAATAATCAATTTACATAAAAAATCCCGAAATTGGTCAAACCCGTCCCTAGGCCCACGTCTCGGAATCCGATAAAAATCACATCAATAGAATCTTTATCCTCCCACGAGTTCATACATACCAACAACATCAAAATCGGACCTCAAATGGCCCCTCAAATCCATAATTTACCCTCTCTAATTTCAAGCCCTAATTCTCCGATTTTAGACTTTAAATCCCACTAATTTCATGTTTAAGAGCCCGTTTGGATTGACATAAAACAAGTGGCTTTTCAGCAGAAATAGCTTTTAAGCCAAAAAAATAAGCTGGGTTGCCCAGCTTATTGCTTTTGGCTTATTTTAAGAGCTTAAAAGCTGATTTGACCGGTTTAAAAGCCAATCCAAACACACTCTAAATTAGATAGAAATCACCATAGATTCCAGTGTTGAGTTCAAAAACCTTAACTTAAATTTTAAAAATACTGCCTAGACTAATTTTATTTACTCTCCAAATCTGAAATTAGAGGTGCATTATAGAAGGCGGAAAATCATATAATAATCAGAGAGAATGGGACAGCTTCAGATTTGATTGGGCTAATCCGGTCTCTTCTTCCATAGCCTGACCCTGAGGCCCTGAGACCCCAGCGTAGCAGATTCCAGATTCTGCTACCCTATCATGGCGCACGTTCAAAACTTTTTGGTAGCTGTTTTCATCTCCTTCACCTTCGTCTCCACCTCATTCTCTCAATCTATTCTTGGAATCACCCCCGAAATATTAGAACTTTTAACCATCAATCGCCACCGTAAGATTCCCAAAGACAATAACAATGCTTTGTACTGTGAGAGCTGGCGGTTCACCGTTGAGACTAATGACGCTGGTTTATGGGCTTTGATTCCCGAAAGGTGCGCTTCTTTCGTCCAGGACTACATGAACGGCGATCGTTACTCTTCAGATTGCGGTGCGGTGGCTGACCTGTCACTGGCGTTTGCCAATACGGTTAAGGTTTCAAACGATGGAAAGGACGCTTGGGTTTTCGACATTGATGAAACTTTGCTCTCCAACTTGCCCTACTATGTGACCCATGGCTTCGGGTAACTCCTCTCTCTCTCGATCGAAATGATTATTACTTCCCTTTTAATTTGCTGAATTTTCGCTTCTTTTTTTCATACGCATTTTTTGGTTATCGCTATATGTTTGGACTGGTTGGATTGCTTAGTACTCCCTCCATCCCAATTTATGTAATGTTGTTTGATTAGGCACAATGTTTAAGAAATAATAAAAACTTTTGAAACTTGTGGTTTAAAATAAATTGTAGATATTTGTGTGCCTATAAATCATCTCATTAACGACAGAATTAGAAGCTTGATTGTTTCTGAATGTGGAAATATTTGGGGACCGATTAAAAAGGAAATACCATCACATAAATTGGGGTGGAGGCAGTACTGATTAAACAACATGCTGTATTACTATACAAAGAGAGTTTCCATTTGAAGTCCTACCATTGGAAAATTACAGTGAAATGAATTTTTCTTTAAATCCCTTTTGTTAATGAGTTTGAATAGTTTCAGTTTCCGTGTAACTTGTGCGCTGGTATAGTGCTGTTGGTTTCGTTTAGTTTGTAAGAACTTGCTAATTCCAGGGATATATTTGACTTGGGGAAAGATAGCATTTCCCATTAATTCACATCAACAACAGCTAAATATGAATAAATAAGGAATCCTTTAGCGATCATGCCATTATGTGCAATTGGGCAACTTAGGCAATATTATCTATAGGTTGCTGCATAAATACATAAAATTGGCCTCAGTGAGATACTCATGTATGCTTTTCTTTTTTTGGAGCTTGTAAAAATATGTGCTTTTCGACAGAATTTTTGATAATTAGCAAACTCAAAAGACTGAAGTTCCATTTTGTTGGCGTTTCTTCAAAGATCACCTGTCTTGTGAAGTTGTGAAAATTCCTTTTTGTGCTTTCATGTCCAACCGTCTTCTTTTGCTAGGAAAAGCTTATATGCTTGATGGTCTACATGATTCCAATATGTATTGAAGTAGATCACTAGGCATACCAAAATATACGAAATATTCATTTTATTTTTTGTGGTGATTATGAATCTAGTAACTCTTAGTTGAGCATCCGCTAGTACTTTACAAGTATCCTCTGCAAGATAAATTATAACTGTCAAAGTACTGCGAGCATGCACATCCGAATCTAATCATAACAAACAAGTGTGACAAAACTTTAGGAACTCTGACTCCATCTTAATGCTATAACCTTTGTTTATCAAGCAATCATGCAGCAACCACTCGCTACAGTCTACACACTCAGAAAATGCAAAAAAGGAACAGCCTATTGGTTTGTATGCACTCACTAGTTAAAGGCTCTCAAAATTTCCAATCCACAGTTTTTTTTGATGTGAAATCGCTGATCCATAGAGCCATTCAAACCGGTTGAGCATTGTTATTTTGCAGCTTCATGCAGTAGCTTCTTTTATTATCTATTTCTTTGCTAGGCTAGCCTGAAGGAATTCGAGGTGAAAACTAGACTCCATTGATGCAATTGGAAGACTTAGTTGTAGTCCCTTGAAGCTATCCTTGAAAATTTTCGTCTTTTTGAAAGCAGTAGCAGTGATTTTTATCCAATTATGTTCTCTCGTAGAAGCATGGTGATTTGATTTGTCAGAGTTTTTATTTCTATTTGAATTTTCCTAAATCATAGAATGCAAATACAATTTAATTAGTTTCGGTATCCTTTTACTGTGAACCTTAAACAGTAATGGTTTGAGATGTTGGCTTGAAATGACTGCCTAAGCTTCTTTCTGTGTTGACAGTAGAGTAGTGTTTATCAAGGATCAAGGTGTATATTGCATTTGGTTAGAGTGTAACATGCTTGAAGTTTCTAAACAATATAAGCTTCAACTCGTTTTCTGTACCTGGCACTTTTCCTAGTTTCTGTTTTGTGGAAAAGCTTTAGGGATACTCCATTATGCCTCTTTTACCAATTAAACATAGGATGGAAGAGTGCTTTGTCACGAGGTAAACTTCATAAACACGATCCGCTGTTTAGCCTAGTATACTTGGTATTCTACTTGAGAAAGAAGTATATACTACAATTTGTGTACTTTCTTGAGGATTACTCTGTTTTATTGCTCTTGTACATTCCAGTTTGAACTATTTATTTAAGCCAAAAGAGCCAAGGTTATGTTGAAGTTTTAACCCCTTCGTTTCATTGTTCATAAATAAGGATGTTTTCCATTTAAAGTTGAATTCCACGTGATACTGCTAACCAAGAAGATTCTAGTTATTTAATGTAGTTTGGCTGACAGAGGGTCAGTTTAGATGTTCTGATTTAGAATAGATTTCACTTTGAACTTTTACTCGCATGTGGCATTCTAATCATACAGCTCATTAGTTCTCTATGGCACTGATTATTTAATCTCGTGCATTGGGGAGATATGAAATGGTTAGTGATGGAGAAATTCATTACCTGCTGAAGCAGTTATCAGTTTGTTTTCCTTTTTAAGATTTAGCGTTTAATCCACTATTCTTTAGAAGTAAGATTCCATTCGGTCTGGTGTGGTAATAATTATTTAGAAAAGAATTTCATTTGGTTTGGTCAATCGCGAAAGTAAATTTAAGAAGTTATATGGTACTCACTTTAAAGTTCTATAATTCTAGAACCCGCAACAATAGAAAGTCCTGTCGTTTTAGCGAGTTCGAGTTCAAGCAGACGTTTATGGTAAAACTGGGAATGGGGTTGGCAGTTACTAGAATGTAGCTTTATTTGGCTGCTTTTGTTCTGTAGTTCTACTTATCCGCATTCTTGTTTACTGGATAAACTAAATACTTTACTAAAAAGTATTGGATAAACTGCGGAAAGAATATTGTCAAAATTAAAGTATGGACCATTCCCCTTGTTTGTCACGAAAAGAACAGAAGAAAGTGTGCCTCTTGTTGACTTTGATGTTTACGTATTTGAAGTCCAGTTGAAGACAGTGTTATCAAAGGATCGTTTAAAGTGTACCAAAGACCCTGAAATTAGGCGCAACATAAGCTGGGTGTCTCGCCTCACTTGGACTGCGTGCCACAAGGTACAAAGGTCTGTGCCTCTTTGCGCATGAACTCTGTCTTGAAGAGGGCAGTAGTAAACAATAAACATATCTGAAAAATTATAAACGTTATAAATGAATATTCAGTAATTAAGAATAGGGAATTGAGAAATTTATTATAGAGAACTAGTCATAAAATTCGAATTAGAAACTTAAAATTGCATCTTTGCATCTATCAAAATTCTTAAAATGTTTTTTGAACTTGATTGGTATGGTTTTCATTTAGTATTCACTTAATTTCAATTGTGCTATTATTATCTAATTGTGGGTTGTTGAAGAAAGGAATTCAGATTAAATATATATTATAAAGGATATGTATGAAGAAGTTGTCACTAGTGTGAACACAGTAGTAGGAGATAAAAAGGAGTTTCTCATAACCATGGGCTTATACTAAGGAACGACATTTGGCTAGTAGTTGTTTACCCTAGTTATAGATGAGGCTAACACAATATAGAATAAGGTGCCATGGTGTATGTTATTTGCTGACGATATTGTGCTTATTGACAACGAATGAGGGCTTCAACCAAAAGTTTGAATTGTGAATAAACACTTTATAGAGTACGGGTTTTTGAATAGGTAGAACCGTAGAAGTAAGATTGAATATATGCACTGCAAGTTTAGTTAGGATAAGAAGAGTAAAGTTGATAGGATTAAATGGATTGTGATGTCTAATTACAAACAATTCAGATATCTTGGCTCCATGTTTCACGAGAATGGTATGATGGATAAAGATGTTACACTTACACATAAAATAAAAATAGAATGGTTGAAATCGAGAAGTGGTATAGAATTTTATATGATGGAAGATACCTACCAATGTAATAGTCAAATTCTATAAAACATTAAGTAGACCAGCAATGTTATATGAGAGTGAATGTTGACCGCTAAAGTTCAACATATCCACAAGATAAGTGCCGCAGATATGCGGTCATACGAGATTAGACAAAAGATGCAAGTAGCGCACATTGGGGACAAAACAAGAGAAGGTTGCTTAAGATGGTTTTGTCATGTTCGAACTCCTATATCGACCTCCAGATACACCAGTTAGTTGGTGCAAAAGCATGGTGGATGGAATTGTTAAAACTGGACAAGGTAGACCCAAAATCACACGAGGAAAGTAGTCTCAAATGAAGTGATATTTTTTGGAATCCATGCAGGCCTAGCAAAAAATATGATTCAATGGAAGAAAAAGATTTATGTGGGTGATACCAATTAGTTGGGATTAAGCTTTAATTATGTTAATACGTTTACTTTAGGTCCTATTTTTTTGGAGTCTTTTAGTTATCTCAAATACTTATGTAATAGGAGAAAATATATAGAACTTTTAATACTTGTTATTTTTTATTTATTATATATAATAAAATATTAGATTGTTATGAGCTTAAATGGAGGGACTTGTAAGTGAGGATACATATAGCTGATCCCAACTTGCTTGAGATTGAGGTGTTTATTGTTGTAGTATATTTCACTGGGTATGATTTTTTCAATTTTTTTGTCCATATAATTGTTGTTTGTGTTTATAGTTTTTGGCATTAAATATATATATATAAGCTCTTTGCTTAAAGCCCCTATAGACATTACTTCCCTAGGCTTTCGCTTTGACAACAGTAGTTGAAGATCCACTTTGCCATTAAATAATGATTTCTCTGTGTTTCTTTTGATTCTTTGTTGTTATTGTATTGTCCTGTGATTGATCACATTTTGCTGCTGTATGTAGATCGGAGATCTTTGATGAAATCGCCTTTGACAAATGGGTAAATGAAGCAGAAGCTCCTGCTATTCCTGCAAGTTTAAAACTGTACAAGGAGCTACAGCAGCGAGGATTTAAGATATTCTTGTTGACTGGTCGGAGTGAATTTCAAAGGAATTATACAGAAAAGAATCTGGTGTATGCTGGATACAGCAATTGGGAAAGACTTATTTTGAGGTATTCAAACAACTTTGATATTTTTATATAGTGTACCTTTATTTGGAATTGGTGCACAGGTAGTTGTATAAGTAAATGTTGGGCCAAATAACTTTAAAAACTGTGGCTGAACATTTGCAATGGAACAGGGGACCTTCTGATAAAGGTAAACTGGCAACCCAGTATAAATCTGAGAAAAGAAAGGAGTTAGAAGATGAAGGCTACAGGATTCATGGGAGCTCTGGAGATCAGTGGAGTGACTTGAATGGTTTCGCTGTTGCCACAAGGTCCTTTAAACTTCCAAATCCCATGTACTATATTGCGTGATGATAGAGTTGTCTAAAAATCTGTTATGAGCTTTGACAATTGACATTGCAATTCGTTCCTACTGAACTTGTGTATAACATTATTCTAACACCTTGTTCAATTGGAATTGATCTCTTTTACTAATAATTGTAAGCCACCATGGATTTTAATATTTCAACTTGGTACGTGATTTTGATTTTCTTTGGAAACATAAAGGAAAAGGTTACTAAAATTACTGTTTCTATTTTCTGGGAGTCATTGGCCCATCTGTAGAATTATTATATTGGCGAACTCTAAGTCACGGTTACAAGCGTTAAAACAACCTTTTTGCAGAAGTGCAAGGAAATGTTACATATAGGGTAGGCAAAGGTAAATTCTTCATCTAGCCATGCTTTAGTTTCAGTGTTCTTGTGATATCATCTGCGCAGAATTCTTTGAGAACAGTGGCCATTTGAGCGCTATCTGATCTCAATCAGTCCTCTTCTGCATTGAATGGTAGAAGCTGGTTGAATACCAAGCAACACTGTTTTGAAGATGAACCCACCATAGGATCTTGGTCCAGCCTCCTACCAAGATCCCGTATCCAGCAATCCAACCAATACAAAGGGCATGAAAGCCCCTTGACAAGGTTGGAGCTATAAAGCTTATCTTATTTATTATTATTAAAAAGGGAAAGCACAATTTACCTTTGCAGAAGAAAAAAAACAAGGAAATGAACCACACCATATGATCCATTTTTGGATAACCCTATACCTAAGACTTGAATTTGATGGAACAAAATGCTATTGTCTTGTTGCTAATAACAGTCTTGGCAAAAACATCACATGGAGGACCCTGCAACTTTCCTTGCTTTAGGAAACTGAAAAGGACCTGCTAATAGACAGGTGATTTTGGGCCTCTTACTATGAATTGCTATGCTTGGTATTTTGGGGTCTGGAATTCTGGGTTTTGGGCAGTAGCAAATCCTCCGTCGTCCTAAATCATGTACTCACAAATTAGGGAAAATGCCATTCAGTAATCAATTCAACTGTTCCTCACGTGAAACTTTTTTCTGTAGGTCACTATGTTTTTCTCTCTATCCTTTCTAGATATAATTTTTGTCCATGTTCTTGAAGGCTCAACCATAATAAATGCTCTTGAAGTCCACACCACACATACAGTAGCACAACATGTGGACGTTTGTTGAGTAATGTGACACCCAACCATTTTATTTGTTGTTGTTAGTTGTGGTACTTTAGTACTGCAACCATTTAACATATGATACAATAACAATTACGTCTCAGTCACAAACAAGTTGAGGTCCGGTATTATGAAAATTCATCATGAATTGACAAATCTTACGCTGGCTGCCAGCCTATCGCAATTCTCCTTCTTTATCCGAGCTTGGGACCGACGATGTGAGTAAGATATGATAAAGCATGAAACATCACTTAGCAAGCTATTAAATAATGAACAGATTTATATCAAAACTATTAATTACTTGACTTGGAGAAATAAATTTGTAGCTACAAGTCATAACTTCTCTATGTTATAATGAAAACAGCCAGCCCATACTAGCCTGTTATCCAACAAACATAAAGAATATTGGTCAGAGTGCCCAGCTTTCACTTCCAAAATACCAAATTAAGAAAAAAAATTAAATTTTATAAAATCAAAATCAATGAGAAGGAGGTGTTGAAACAATTTCTTCTTCACTAATTATTGACCCACAAACAAGAGGTTTAGCTGCAGGTATTCTAAGACAACTAAGACTACCACCAGGAATGAGAGAACACTCTGGTTGTGGCCTTTGCATTTGCTTACCTGGAATACAATTCAATGAGAAATCAAACCCCACATTCCTATAGGGAAGTTTGTCACAATCTTGGCTCAAACCAGAGAAGAAATTGTAAGTAAGAGTCAAATTGATAAGACTTCTCAATGAACAAACCAAGTCTGGTAAATCTCCAGAAAGCTTGTTGTGTGCTAAGTTGAGTACTTCAATGCCACTCAAACAAGAAAGTGTATCAGGCAAATGTCCCATTAACGAATTGAAACTCACATCCAACACTTGTAAATCTGCCCACATACCAACCCCTTCTGGAATACAACCAGTTAACTGGTTATTTAGGAACAAAATCTCCTTAATTCTTGGACCCATGTACCCCAAACTAAATGGAATGTTTCCAGTAAACTTGTTATTAGCCAGATTGATAACTGAAGATGGAGAATTCCCTAAATTCTGAGGAAGTTCACCATCAAACTGGTTGTTATTAAGAAAGATAGCATCAAGTTTTTTGTTGAAAAGATCTTCTGGAATTGGTCCTGAAAAGCTGTTAAATCTGAGGTCTAAATAAAGAAGATTTGGGATGAGTAAAACAGCAGTAGGAAATGTACCAGAAAAATGGTTATTACTGAGGTCTAACTCAGTAAGAGAAGTAAGGTCTCTGAAATTTTGAGGAATTGGCCCTGAAAATCTGTTACTATTGAGATGAAAAATGGACATTTCTGCTAAAAAGGACAGTTCTTTAACAAGAATGCCTTGTAAATTTGCATGGTTTAGATCAATACCTGCAACAACTGAAGTTGGGTTGCCCATATAATCTTGAGATTCTGAACAAAAGATTCCTTTGTAAACACAAACATTTGTACCAACCCAACTATTCAAGATTCCCAAAGGGTCATCTGTAATTGCTGATTTCCATGTTTGAAGAGCAGTGTAAGCTTTGTTAATATCAGAAGAAGTAGGACTTGGGCTGTTAATTCCTCCTCCAATCCAAACACCCCCACCCCCCACCCCACCACCAACACCTACCCCCATACCAACACCACCACCTACACTCATTGCAGCTTCAGTGACAATGATTTTGTGAAGGAGAAAAACCAAAAACCAAATGTTGATCATTTTGAAAGAACTTTTTGGAGTTTTCTTGCTAGGTTGTGCAAAATATGGTTAAGTATAGCATTGAATAAAAGATGATGTGGGATTTATTGTTAGCTTTTGAGTGAAGCTTTTATTGTAGTATTGGTATATGAACAGTATTACACAATAAATGTCTTCTCTTACACTATACATCAAGTTGAATTTCTCTTTCCATCCAATCTGTACATGCTTCACTCGGCAATATAATTATTACAGTATTAATTATAAAAATGCCTTTTTGTCAATGTATAAAAGTTGACTAGTCATTAAGCAACTGTTCATGATAATGAAATTCCGGACTTCCGGTTAAGTAACATTAAATTTTCTAAAAAAATTGGGATTTTGCAGCCTTTCACGGCCACGTTTCTAGTAAGATAGATTTATTTAACATAAGAATGGAGGTAATGCAGGTAATATCATTACGGTTCCTAATTATTTTTATACAATGGCCTTATTCTAAAGAGCATGGAAAGGAGTTTTGGACAGTGGAGCTAAGTAATATTAACGATGAATTATTCTCCCGTTCACTTTTATTTGTTCACTATGACTTTGCACACTCCTTAAAAAATAATAAATAAAGTGCATAATTTACTATGATACCCATATTAATTGATGATAGTCTTAATGAATTTGAAAATGATTTGGAATGAGTAATTAATGCTAAGGACAAAACTGAAAGAAGTAAATTATTTTTCTCTTGATATGCGAAAGTAGACAAGTAAAAATTAAAAATATATTTTTGGAATAGTGGACAAGTAAAAGTGGATCTGTATGATTAGGGTTTGTGGCACAAGTCTCTTTATAAATAGAAAGAGACATAGTTATAGGGAACATTGAACACTCATTTGTAAGACAACACATTGTCAATTCTCTGAAGATTCTTGCTTTATTATACACATACAAAATATACATTTTTCTTGAGATTTTTGTCTAACTTTTCTCCCACGATCCAAGGAGAATCTGAATAATCAAAGGCCTATTAATGATTCATCATTGTCAGAAAGAATACTAAAGAATCTCATCCTTTACAGGTGACACTAAAAAAAAGGGGAAAAACCAACTGCTAGAACCGACTGATGTTGGTCGGTAATTGGCATACCGATTCGTGGCGGTCGGTAGAGCTAACCGACTGACTTCGGTCGGTATTTTCCGACCAATTTCGGCCGGTCAATCAAATTCCAAAAAAAAAAAATTGTCGAAAAAATCGACTGAAGTCGGTCGGTATTTTTAATCATGTAATTAAAAAATGCATCATATGAGAATCAAACTGGGGTCTATAATGTGGCAAGATACTATTCTACTACTAGAACATTAGTGCCTTTTGTTTTAAGACTGTCTTTTATTTCATTATACTCTTTAATTGTATTTTCGTGCGAAAATAATCGACCGATGTTGATCGATTTTATTAAAAAATAAAATTACGACTAAATCGATCGATTTTTTAAAATGACCGGCCGAAATAACCGAATGATTTCGGTCGATTTTTTGAATATTAGTTTTAATTTATTTTAAATGAAAAACCGACCAAATTTGGTTGGTTTCTCAAAAAATAAATTTCGTGGGAAGCAAAAAATAGTTTCCTGCATTTTTGTGCAAAAAAAAAAACCAATGAAAGTTGGTCGGTTTCATTAAAAAAAATTTAAAAAAAATATTTTGAAAAAATCGGCTGCAGTCGGATTTCTTGCTGATTTTTTGACCGACCGAAGTGGGTTGGTCGATCGCGGTCAGTTTATGCCGAATTTCTAGTAGTGTGATTCATATACTTTTATTTACTTAAATGACATTTATTAATATTTATTGTTATTTAATGCTATCCTCCTTCATTTTCGGATCATTGAATATACGAGTGTTATTGCCATTTATTGCTACTTAGATTATACTCACACTATCTACCCCAAAATCGATTAATACATCTTTCAGATATTAATGTTGGCTAAGATTAACTTTATTTTACTAAAAAATTTAATTATTTAAACTTTGATCTAAATTTGGGTCAAACAGTACCTAATATTGCATTCTGTCCACTATATTATACTCATGCTTGTTAAAAAGAAATCTAAATAAACTACAAATTAGAGATCATATTATATTGATATACTACAAAAGGAAAATAAATTATACCTTTACAAGAAAGTACTTGAATCTAGTAGTTAACATTGTTATTTCAACGAGCAATAGGAGACGAAGAAAAGAAAAAACAGTGAAAGAGAAAAGAAGAGATCTATTTATAATATAGAGATTATTTCAAAGATGAAATAGAGAAGAAGAATAAAAAT